TATTTAAAACCATTAGCTCTGACTTCTTTGTGTTGATCTTGATATTGTTAATTTTGTAAAAACTTTCTGCAATTTCTAGAATCTTTTTGAGCTCTTTTTTGGAGGTTGCGATATATGTTGTATCATCTGCATAGGCAATTACTTCAATTTTCTTTTTTTGCTTTTTTATTTCATTTGTTCTTAGGTTTGTTGACCAATCTACCTAAACTTTATATTCTACTTCTTTTTTTTTTTGTATTATGACTAATAGAAAGTTATAAAAAATTTTTCATACTAGGAGAGAAATTACTTCTCCTTGGTTGATTCTATCTTGTGCCTAAAACTATTCTGTTAGGCTATATTTGGTTAAAATCTCTATTTCTTTTTTATTATAAAGATCTATGATGAAGCTTCTGGTTTTCTCTGGGATTTTTATTCTTTTTAGTACAAGGTTTAGCATTTGGAGGCTCACTAAATCAAAGGCTTTTTCATATCTTGGAAAAATAGCCAGACCTCTTTTTTTTTTCTTTGGCATCTTCTAGAATATAGTTAATTAGATGTATTGGTGCCACTATTCCTTCTTCTAGAAGCTCTGCTAAGTTTGTTGTTTATTATTCTAACAACTGTTTTTCAAAAAGTCTCTAGAAGTAATATAGATCAGATGTTGTTTAGTTTGTATCCTCATTCTTTTTTTTTTTGGTATCAGATAGAGCATTCTGATTTTCTACTTCTTGGAGATTTTTTCTGATTTTATATATGCAGATGCTAAGCTGATAAATTTGCTTTTTGTATATCTTCCTATATTCTTAAGAAGAGGGTAAGGTATTTCTAATAACCCTGGGGCTGGCCTGTTCTTTGTTTGGAATAGAGCTAGATTCCACTCTTCTTGCTTTACTCTCTCAGTTAGCCCTTATACTATACTTCTTTTATACTTTCTAATAGTTCATACTCTTTTCTCCAGAATAATGAAAGTTTCTCTATTTTTGTATTTTTTTTTCTAAACTGTCTTTGGAAATGGTTTTTAACTGATTCAAGTACTTCTTGTAGACTATATATTAGCTCTTCTTCCATATTTTCTTCTTCAAGTAATATTCAGTCTAGCTTTAATTTGTTTGTTAGTTTCTTTAGTAAGCTGTTGATCATTTTTTTCTGATTGCTTACTATTATTACATACCTCTTCTCGATGTATTCTTGAATTGTTTTCTCTTCATCTTTTTTTTTTTTTTCTTGCCATATTTTGTATAGCCCTTTTCACTATAGCTCAAGCTTAGTTCCAGTATTCGTTTCCTCTCATTTATCTCGTGTTTTCTCTCTAGAAGAAATATCTGTAAACTTGCTTTCTAAAACTAATAACTATTCTTTCACTAGCTTGTCTGTTGGATCTTCTTTGTCAGATATAGTTTCTTTCGTATTTGTGAGTTTTTTAAGCTTTCGATACCATTTTCTGGTTGTCTTTATATCTTTTTAAAACTCTTTAACTCTTCATTTTCTGGTGTAGTTCTAAAAGTTTTGGTGTTCTTTTTTTTTTTAGAGAGCATGTTTTTTGTTGCTCTTTGAATAGCTTTTTGTATTTTTTTCCACATTTCATCTATGTTAATATCTTCTAATGGATTTGTTTTATAG